GGTCTTCCGCTTCACTGGCAATGTCAGAAATTGTTGACCTGAGTCTCCTACAACTCAACATAACAGCATGGCTTTACTTCTTATACTTCGCTTTTATACTTTTCTGCTGGATGGTTAAGACCAAGATAAAGCAAGACCTATGCAAAAAGAGTTGTATCTTTTGGGTCTGAGAAGGTCCGTGAAATCCCCTCAGGATTTATGCTGAGATCCTGTACCTCAAGATTGTAGAACCTTTGTCAGTGTCAGCCATGTGGATAAAGATAAAGATAAAGATAAAGCAAGACCTATGCAAAAAGAGTTGTATCTTTTGTATCTGATAAGGTCAGTCAAGTACCCTCAGGATTTATCCTGTAACCCTGTACTGCAGGTTGCAGATCCTTTGTCAGTGTCAGCCATGTGGATGAGTCACGGCCATTGCTTGACCAATGTGCTCCCTGTGAAAGCCTAGGAGAATGTTTTCTCTCCATGTGACTCTCCTTAGGCACACTCTACATAATCGATCACTTTCCTCTTTGGCCCTATAATCTTCTTGATCAGAAAATTTGGGACACTACCAAGTTACATGACGTTACAGTACAAGTTCTCATATGTCCTGAGTCTTAACTGACTTTGGAAGGCTAGGGCCAAAATGTTAGCTTTCCTTGAGGCCCTCCTTTTTCTCTAATTCTGGTCTGCAAACTTGGGTTATTAACCCTCCAGAAGAGAAGCTTATTGTTATTACCATACAACCTAGGCTGTTAAGCTTAACCTCACTATCTGAATGAATAGCAAACATCTTAGGCATAACATGAAACAGGTATTTTTCATCACGTATTGATATGTTGAACTTTAAGTCCCTACAGAATATGAAGAAAAAACATTTAAAAATTAAAATATATTTTTAAAATAGGCATAAAGAATTATGTATTTATGTTTACATATAAGTCCAGAAATCTCATCATATACAACCTTGAAGCAGAACAGTCCCACAATATTCCTTTTCCTGTCTCCTGCCTTCATTCACCAGCTCCTTCCTTTTGAACAGTCATCTACCCGAGAGACAGCACAGCAGCAACTGGCATGTCATGACAAGCAGCTCATATTCAGAAGACCAGAATGACAGGCACTCCAAGCATGAACCTACTATTACAGATTACCATCTTCAGTGCAGTCGCTTAGTTCACAGGTATCAGTATATATAGTTAGTCTGGGTGAGAATCTTTCCAATTAACTGCTAGATTCAAAAATCTTCTGAAGATTCTCAGGATCACTGCCTTGCCCATCTTGTACATAGAACTGTATGGCTTGTCACTGTCATGTTTCCTAGTTCTTCTCCTTTCCCTCAAAGGGTCCATTCTAATTGTGATTTAATTAATGGTACACTCTAATTAATGTACTATTAAAATGTACTTAAAGTTCTGCAACAAATCTTTTTTTAAAGGGTCCACAAACAAGCATCTGATGCCATTTATGAACACTTTCCAAGGCCATAAGACCCTGAGTCTATAGATATAAGAATTAAAGTCAGGAGACATACATTATTTTAAGGGCCAGAGCTGGCTCTCCTGGCTTTCCACGACCCTCAAGACTGTTCAATTACATTTGGCTATCAAGCAGCCATTCAATGACTTCACTATTACCTCCACATCTTTCAATCCCACCAGCTAACTTTGATACATTACATCATTTAACCTTCTTTGCATTACAAATAGAAATTAACATTCTAAGTTATACATCAGTTTTTGGTTGTTTGGTTAGCATGAAATAACCTAAGAGTCTGCTCAGTTCTAAAGATAGTGCATAAACTGGGCATGGTGATGCACGCCTGTAATCCCAGCACTCAGGAGGCTGAGGCAGGATTATTGCTGCTTCAAGACCAGCCTGGACTCAAGGCCAGTTTTAACTGCATAGAAAGACTGTCTCAAAAAGACAAAAAAAATATAGTACCTAAAAAAAAAAAAAAAAGTTTAAGAGCTTGAAAAATTTAAAGACCATACTTTAAAACAGTGATTGAGGGCCAGGGAGATGGCTCAGGAGAATAAGCGCTTCCCTGGCAAACGCAAGGGCCTGAGTTCTATCCTCAGTTCTGCAAAAAAATAGATAAATAAAAAATACAACAGTGATTGAATAAAATAGGGGTCATCACTTGAGAGAGTGAGGCAAGAGAACCACTGAGAGTTGGAGGCCTGTCTGGATGCGGGCCAAAAGTGGATTTTATTTGGCTTGTATTGTGATGATGGTGATGGTGAAGAGGAAGAGGAAAACAGAAAAGAAAAGGCAAAGAGAAGAACTACCCCTTTAAAAATTTGGGAATTTCACATAGGAATGCATATTTCTAGCTTTTCTTGAAAAATCTGAAATTCTGACAGTACTGGGACTTGCCATGTGGTAATAACTGACCAAAATTATGTAATCATAGCCCCACCTACAGGGACATTTGGTACTAAAGCCACAGGTGAACTGTTATCATTATACATATTGTTTTGTTTTGTTTTTTTCTTATAAACTTCAAAGAATGAAGAATGCCATACCTGGTGGACAGGTGCAGATTTTTAAAAGTACAATCCACTCTTCACATTAATTCAGTAAAACAAAAGTAGAATTAAAGAATTTACCTTAATCTGAGTTTGTTCGATTGATTTTTCCCATATCTGCTGATCATATGCTCCAATCTGAAATAAGGAGCAAGCTATTTAAATGATGCAAAGGCAAACACCTGTACTTAAGTCAAACCTCACACAGAAATCATTAATCTATTAAGTATTAATATCTGAAAAATGTTTATGCCTCTCAGAATTAGTATTTCCAAAAACTATTTCCTTCAAAACTCTATAATAATAGCCGGATCTAAAAGTTTAAAAGCAACATCTAAAATATTTCAAATGAAATATTACCTTAAAAGGTATTTCCACACTTAAGGAAAACATCAATAGGAATGCTACAGAAGAATAAAAGATAAGGGACAGCACCAAGCTGAGCCATACAGATAAAGGTTCCATTCATATCTTTGAAGCGTGAACAGAAGTAAACTTTCCTAGCGCTGCCATGGCTTCTGTATGCAACCCAGAGAAGGGGCAGGATTTGAAAATCTGATCCTGGGACCTGGAAGTGGCTTTACAATGACCTTGTAAATCCATGTTTCCACTTATGCTGAGCTACCATAATACCTGGTATTAAGAAACTTAGGGAAAAGCAATGTGGTGTTTCTTGTGCAGTTTCTGCAGGAAGTGCGATTTGCAAATAAAAATTACCTTCTTTTGATACCACGATATAGCATCTCTCTCGTTCGAGGCCATTTGTATCTCCAGCCAGAGTGGGATTTCACTGAAAATGAAGGTAAGCAGTGGGTGAGTCAAGCCCCTCGGGGAGCAGCAGTCCCTTTCTCCGACTGCTGGGAGTGGGAGACGGCAAACAAACGGTCGCCGCGGCGGGGACGCTCCTGGCAGACTTCGCGGGAGGAGTTCGCCGCTGTAGCGAAGGGCAGGCAAGAGGTGCCCGAGTACCCCAGCCCGGCCCGCGGCCCCTCGCGGCCCCCCGCCCGACTCTCACCTGGAGCCCGCTGCTAGGCAGGCCGACGTCCAGGTCCTTCCTCCTCAGCGGCCCCAGCCCGGCGGAAAGGCAGGGGGCGAGGCGGCCGGCCCAGCAGGCCGCATCTTCCCCGCAAGGCCGCGACGCCGGTGGGGCCGTTACCATGGAGACCGCGGCGGCCGCGCCAGCCTCGGAGGCAGCTGGCGGCCCGCGCTGCACCGAGGGCAGTCCGTGGTCACAGCGCACTCGCCAAGCCCGACCTACGAGGTCGCCGGATGGGCCATAAAATAAGCAAACGGGCGGGGCAGCGAGGGAGATAAAAGGCAAAGGGCCTTCGCTAAGCCGACACTTTTGCACTGCCGCCGCGTAAAGCGCTTTGCGCCTCCTTGGGGAGAACCGGGTCGCGGCGCGGCTGCCGAGCGGCGGCGCGCGTCCTCCCGGGGCTGCGCCGTTAGGGCGGTGACTCAGCCGCGCTGCACACCGCCGCCCTGCACACCGCCGCGCCGCCAGCCTCGGCTTCCGCTTTCCGGCCCTCGCCGCCCAGGTGGCTCCGCCCCCGGCCTCCGCTCGCTGCCCCGGGCGGCTGCGGAGCGAGGGGTGGGGGTCGCGCGGCCGCCTGCGCTTCCCGAGGGCACCTTCGGGTCGGCAGAAAAGACTTTCCCTGCCAGCGATCTCGAGATCCACCGGCTCCCGGCTCGTGACTTCGGGGCACTTTACTTCACATTGGCTTCTCCCAGTGGGCTGCCGGAGCCGAGCGGGGCGAGCGGCGCCCGCGTGGGCTTACACACAGGTTTTCGGTATTGGTTGAGTGAACGACCGCTGTGAAACGCAGGCCAGGAGGGCTGGGAATCAAGGGCTCCCCGCTCTTTCCCGCAGCAGCTCTGGGACTTAAACTTAATGGATTTCAAGAGTGTAAAGGAAGAGGGACAGGGCTAGAGACTGTCACTAGTCGCTTTCTCCAATTACAATAAGGGAGGTTGGTGGCAGGAATTTTAAACGCCAGCGGGCCGGTGGAGGTCAGATGAAAACGATTACACCCCCGAATGAATGTTAAGGATATGTTAATAAGGTTCCCAACCCACTTTTTCCTCTTCGCAAAAACATTTTACCTTACAGTTTAGCACATGCAGGCTTTTTTTTTTTTTTTTTTTTTTGGAGGGATGCAGGCACTTAGCAGGTAAATGGAACCAGGAAAAAATGCACCTGCCAAAAACAAGTGGTAAGGTTGTGTAAGGCAGGGGCGTTGGACACAGAACAGCTGCGCTCAAATCTGGGCTCCTAATTGTTTTTTTAAGGCAGTGCATTCAGTCTAACACGCCTGCTTTCTCTCTTGCAGTATGGATTATCTTCCCACAAAACAAAAGCTGACGGGGGACTTCATTTGGTGCTATGCATATCCCTGTAACTCCAGTCACAGGAGGCTGAGGTAGAAGGACTGCAAGCTGAAGGCCAGACTGGACAACTGAGAAAACCCCCATCTCAAAAAGCACTACCTTTTATGAGTTAAAAATGTAGTTTTGCCGTAGAGTGCCCCTGCCTTCAAATTTACACAACCAAAATAGTGTTGTATGGTGCGCCACAGCACATGGACATCTGAGAAGTCTACACACCACTTTCACTGCTCCGTGCGTTTCCAAGAATATCTACATCACCAGAATGAAATATTTAGCGTTGTCTCTGATAAGTACACAGAAACCAAATCAAACAGCAAAAGGCCTAAGGGCCACAAAGGCAAGTATAAATTTTCTTCTTACCCAAAACTAGACGCATCCTCCCTATGGATAGATCCTCCCCGCTTCCTCACCTACAACCATCTTTAGGGGAAGAAAAAAATCCAACAACAAAAAAAAATCTTTTTTTTTTTAATTTTAAATGATGGGATAGAGAAGGTAGGAAGGAAACAGGTTTCTGGTATCTAGAATTCACACATGCTATTCATTTTGTAATGAAACATCAGTAAAGGACGAATCAGACTTTGTTTATTAAAAAAATACTTTACAGGGGAAAAAAAACCTCTATGCATTCCATTGTCCTATTTTACAAAGAAATAGCTTAACAATTTAACACACTTAGACAGCTACAAAAAAGCACTGTGTTAAAAGGATTATTATTCACACAAATTTGGATTTAAGACTATTCATTAAAAACTTTAAAACACTTGTTAATGTCAATAAACAAACTAAGGCCACACAACGCAAAAAGTCCGCCAGGCAAATTATACATTTCATCTATATGCAAAGACCTCTTAAAGATAAATTAAAGCCACAGGAAAAAAATTCTTAGCTGCCAATCAAAATGGAGTTTAGTCACAGAAAACACTATTACATGAAAATTTACAACATGTGAGAGAAGCAATACATATTTCTTTAGAGAAAATTGAAAAGTGCTATATTTTAAGAGACAGTGGTCTCAACTACATGCACAAGTGGATCCTAAAAAATTTAAGAAGAAAATGGAAGGCCATATTTATGGAGAGATACTTGCTTTCCAAAGGAACAAACTTTCAGCATGAGGTTGAGTCCTTTATGCGCGTAGGAAAAACATGTACTGTGCATTTCCTTTACTTGCATAACCAATAAATACAGCTACAACCTGTTTTAAAAACATAAAACAGCACAAATGTGAACTTCTGGCATATGCTACTGAAAGGCTCTTGTTTAAAAACCTGTAGTAGTGATAAAACATTTATTAAAAAGATACAATCTTCCTAAAGGTATAAATACAAATAACTTTTTAATGGCTAATACAGACGAAAATATAATGGGTTAGTATTAACGATTAAGAATATATTCACTAAGTATATTTCCATAGATTTTGGAGACTTGTTCCTATATTAGCTTTGAGACAATAATATTTATATAGGGAAAGGCAACAAGCAAACGTTTCTCCACTCATTATGACCTTTATGCCTACTTAAGACAGATGCAAACATATTTTCCAAGGTTTAGTAATGAATTTATTTAATAAGCTCATTTTCCCCCTATAAGAGCTTACAGTATTAGTTGATAATCCTACTGTCTCTGAGGGGACAGGGCACTTTCCAAAAGTCTTTAGCTAAAAATAATATACCAGTTAAACAAATTTTAAGTACTGAGTAAACAAATTAAAAGTACAGTTAAGCTTAGGAATTTGTTTTCAAAGAGTTAAAAAAAAAAAGCTTGGAGGAGGGAATCAATATATAGGGTTTTTTTCACTGTTATTGCTTGCTGAGTTTGAGACACCTCTTGGAATCATAATCTACTCCTAGCATTACCTTGGCAATTATAGAATGACTTCTGAGCCACGGGGGAAGACTTCTGTCCTTTTTAATGGACACCATAAAATCATTCTGTTTACTATTAGGACTTCATTTATTAGGCCCTTTCCATGAACACATTTTAAGAATTCCCTCTTCTCCACATTCCTCCATAAAACTTATAGCTCACATTCTGAAGTAACCTCGAGTTGGCACACTGGATAATGTAACAAAAAGGAAGATCTGCTTAAATTTCACTGCCATCACAACTCAGAAGACGCCAGATTGTTCCATGCCTCACTCCATCAAACCAAATAATTTAATGATTCAGAAAAGTTGCAATCATTTGTATCACTATACTAGGATACAGATTTGAAAGCAGTAAGGAATTCAGAACTGCTGCTCTTATATTCATCAGTCTTTAAAGCATGCTATCAAAATCTAATACTCACATAGGACATTGAGTTTCCAGATACATTACTAGCTAAATATTTCTCTCCATTCTATTGCAATTCTAACATACAATGAATTTATTAATACATGATTTCAAACACTTTTTATACGTTTAATGCATTTATATTGGAGGTGAGGGTAGAATGTTTTATAAAAGGAAAATGGGGATTTGCTTTTGATTGTAGGTCTCTGCAGATCCGCTGGTTCCTGAGTGACTATACACAGTGCTGGCTGTCAGGAGACAGTCTCCTTTTTTACTAGTAATGACCAGCCTAGATGACAGATGGCATCTGCTGGATGGCAAGTGGGAGATGGGGAAATTGGATTTTGGAAGACAAGAAAATCAAAATAAAACCTTTTTGCTTTAACAACCTTGCTCTTCATGATTATTCTAAAAAGCAAATGTTGCCTGAGAAGAATTTTATTTTGCACAGCCTGGTAAAGCTCTATGAAATTCTTCTGGACAGAAAAATAAAAATAACATATAACCCAAACCCATTCATTTTGTGATTAGCCCCCTTTCCCACAAAATAACAAAAGAAGTACCCTCAAAGGTCCCTTAAAAACTAGTCGTGATAAACTAGAATTTACCCAAGAATTTATACACAGGATTTAAAAACACCCCTGTAATAATCACATTACCTTTCATACCATTCTAATTATTTACAAAGATAACTAAAACCAACATCACTTCCAATTCATAAATGGTTTACATCAAAATGCTTCCCTATTTGTCTTCATCCTTTGTAACAGAGAATACATACATATACATATATATAAGGAATAATACAGATTCTAACTAATCACTGTAGTATTTGCTGATGGTTACTTTTCTATCAATTTACACAGTGACCTCTATACTTTGCTAATATCCATTTAACTACACAACAATATTGCACAAAGTAATATTTATATAAGATTTAACCTATTTCAGAAGTTTAGAGAAAATTCATATTTGATACTTTCAAAAGATGCAGCTAAGTTTTCATGGTGACAGACACAGTAAAGCAGCATCTTTTTTTTTTTTTTTTTTGCCTATGTTAATGTAAATTTTTCAAATCTCACCATCCAAAAAAAGAAAAAACAAAACTTCAAATTGCACTGTAACCAGGTAGATACAAGAATCTGGTCTTAGGTGTGGGGAATACTCTTCCTTTAACAAACAAAAGGCCTACCCTAGTATTAACCAAAAAAAGTATGTGCATCACATTAACGTTCTGAAGTAATAGAAAGTTGATATCACATTAGCTATATGAATTGTGCCTGAAAAAGAGTAAAAATTTTAAATACTCAGGCACTAAATTTTAGGCTACCCAAAACTCTAGGATGAAGTTTAGTGCTGTATTCTTTATTAGAAAACAGCAACACAGAATAACAGTAAATAAACCCAGTTATTCTCTAGTTAAAACTGCAAAGTGTACCAAAGTTTCATGAATAGGTTGATGCCAAATAACAAGTTCCAAACATGGCAGCCTCATCAGAAAGATTGATATCATTCTCTTAAGTTTGACAACTGTGATCAATTTAGAAAGCAAAAGTATCCACATGAAATGAGAATGCTAGGAAGCAGAACAGAGTATTATGTCAACATTATCTCTTTTACCCAGAATACCTTCCATAGTTACCAGGTATTTTATAAGAGATTAATGAACCATGGATAATGACCAAGGATTATTCAGCTTTAGATTTTTTTTTAATTGAAATATCCACTGGGCATTAAATAACAGATACCAAAAAAAAAAAAAAGACAGTTTGGATCAGAAAGTGCTGTGCTTTCTCCTTGTTAAG